TCTTTTCTCTCTAAAAATCAGTAAAAACATTTAAAAAACAAAGCAAAATGAAAACAGTATTGATCATTAAAGAATTAGACTTCAGTTCCAGACAGCTGAAGTATTATATTTAGAAATTGCTCTTTAAAGGTAAAACTTAGAAAATAATTAATACTTTAGAGCTAACACTGCAACTTGTAGTTTAATAAGTAGTTGTAGCATCTGTGTAGAATTCCAAGTTGGATTGTTACATTGCTGGCTATAATGGTAATACGAATTAATAGAGAAGCAGCCTCAGTTTACAGGTGGAGATGTAGGGCAGGGGCCATGACTGACCATATTCCCACACCTGAGGCACGGGAGGACTTGGATTTAGGTTTTATACATGTCTAGTCCAGAGTCTTCAGTGGAACTAGAGTTAGTAACTTCTGTTCTATTCTGCGGCTCCCACGTAAGGGCAGTGGGCTAGCCGATTGGCCCCAGGCCCCAGGTCTGACTTCTAGCCCATTTAGGCTGTTATGGGTCACCTCATCCGAGGCTCACAGAGGGCGAGGTGCCAGTTAGGTTGGTGTCAGATGAATTAGACCGTGTATCTAAGAGGAGAGCAATAGGTTTTTAATTGTAGGAGACAGTAGTGAAATCTCCCGGGCAGATGTGCTTGATGGCTTCCCCTCTGAAGTCTTCCCTCTTCTGCAGATTGCTGCTCTCGCCCTACTGAGGGTTTGCGTATACACTTGCCCACCCTGCCTGCCTCTCAGCCTGCCCCCTGCACCCCAGCCTGCCCGAGAGCTTTTCAGAGGTGAAATCTATGAAGATTCTAGTACGTTGTGACTGCTGTAGTGCTAATAGACTCTTTCCTGTAACGTCCTGTTGTTTCGCTTAGAAAATAGAGCCCCCGCCCCAAACAACACTTCCATATTGTGTGAGGTTTCTGTAAACCAGAAAGCAACATATTAAAGTGCAATTCAGAGGGGAGTTTGCTGGCTGTGTCGACTGAACTTTGCAGTCATTTTAACACCGGCAAAAGTGTTATCTTAACTGCTTCAAATCAGACTGCAAAGATGCTTGTGTGAAATACAGTATTAGATATCAAATCAGACATATGGGTGATGAACGGAGGGTGTGTGTTGTGGGTAGTATAGTATATGGTATTCCAGCATGTGGAGTTGTATTTCATGGAAATTCTCTGGCTTGGCTTATGGCAGGGACATACATTCATTATGAGATATCAAGCTGTAAAATAAATAAAAGCAAAGAATTCAACTGTGCTGTTAAATGGATTTCAGTGCAGACTTGCCTGCTCTCCTGATTTAGGCTCCGTGTGACGGGCACCTGTGAGCCGTGGTGGCCGAATATTTTGTGATCATTGCCGACAGGTGTTGCAAATATCTCGATTGCTTCCAAAGGAATATGAACTTTAACTTTGTGCATTTTTTCCTTTTACTTCATTGTATGTGTCATGAATTACAACACTAATTGATCTTAGAGGCCAAGTATTTAATATTTTTCTCCTTTTACCATTCCTTGTTTTTCATCATTTGATATTCTGTAGTGAATGTTTTTTTCAAGTGTGTATCTGGAACTGATCACTGAATTCTTAAGTGTGTGGGCTTATGGGGCTCAAGTTCCTGAAGTTCTCAGATGGACCATATTGTGGTATTAACAGAGTGACTTCACCCTTCTCGTCTCGAGTGCTTTTTGCCATCCTGATATCTTGTTTTTCTTTTCCTCTCCTGCTCTCTCTCTCTCTCTCCCAATTAGAAAAAAAAGTCAACAGATTTCTCATTTGAAAAAAACATTAAAAAATATCAATGGTGTACTTATTGCATGAGGGAGGATGGGCTTTTTTTTTGGTCAATGATTTTAGGGCTTTTTAGGTGCATGTAAATTAGAGATGAGAAGACTCACTTAAGGCTGTATTTTGTTTATACTTCTGGATTTTGTAGTGCAGTACGCCATACTTTATATCATTACCTGTTTCATCAACTAGGAAAATACTATCCTTGTATTAGATATGAATATCTTTCCTTCAGGAGCTTATATTGATGGTTATGTTATTTGATATTCATAGTATAATTCTAAAAGAATTTCATTTGATTGTAAAGTAATGCAGGTGGGTTTTTTTTTAAGCAAAATAATCAATGGAAATGCTACTGTAACTGTACTGTATGTGCTACAGATGTAGTTGGGGAGCTCTGGCCTTTGTTGAAACGAACATGCACCCTATACGTGCACCCAAACTACAAGCGTTGTACAAAATGTGAGTTTGTGAACGTGGACTGCTGGAGTTCATGTTCATCATGTGTGTTGTAGGAGAATGGATTAACATAATGCTGCTTTCTCAGCAGAGGCTATTTTCAAATGTCACTTTTAGAAGCCCCCACCAACCCCAGATTTTTATAAAGTTATCAGTATTTGCTATCTGATAAAAATGCTATTTTAGATAGCAAAGTCAAATTATCTTTTGCCTTCATTGATAGTATGTGAATAGAAGGCAGGATGTTGATTTATGTAAGGGGAAGAGTATTAAAAATAGTAAATTCAGTTGCTTAGCAAAGAACCCACTTGTTTTGCTGAATTGAAACCATATTTGACTTCATTGAATTGCACTTTTGACTTTCGCTTTCTTTGCCTTGACCTTTTGACAGATGCCACCTCAGTATGGACAGCAAGGTGTGAGCGGTTACTGCCAGCAGGGCCAGCAGCCTTATTACAACCAGCAGCCACAGCCTCCGCACCTCGCTCCGCAGGCGCAGTACCTGCCGTCGCAGCCCCAGCAGAGGTACCAGCCGCAGCAGGTGAGCTCCGCCGCTACTGTTCTCCAGGCCTCTGCGGTCCTCGCCTGTGTTCAGAGGCCAGGCTCGGCTCTGAGACACCTTCCTGTCCCATTTAAAAAATTCTCTTCTTAGTGGGAAAAAACGTAGTCTTGAGAAAATGCAACATAACCTAATCTGAACTGTTTGCTATGGATGGGTGTGTGAGATGGAAGGATTGGAAGAACATTTAATAGCTTCTTACACTACCGCACAGTGACAGAGGAAAATGTCAGCCTTTTGAAGTTCTTGTCATTTGTGTTCTGAATCTTTCAGGAAAGTCGTCTGTGACTTGGAGGCTTATTCAGGAAAATGGCTTGATCGATCAGTTAATCTTGCTAGTTGGCACATTCATGGTATTTTTATCTCGAAATTTTTTGTTTTTTGTTTTAATGGCAAGACCACTATATCAAAAAGCATTGATGCCTTTGGCAGTGCTATTTTTCTTTAGCTTGTAAACAGATAATCGCTTCCATTACAATTATATTACAATACTAAAGGGAATCATGTACTCTAAGTATATCAAGCAGTTTCTAGCTTAAATTGGCCTCATTAAATACTCTTGTAGGTTACTGGGCTATACATTTTAGCTTATATTATTTATAGAAAAATAGAACATATGCATTTGGTAAAATTATTCAATTTTGTCTTGTTTTAGAGACTCATTGAGTAAATACTAAGTCGTCGTGAGCTAGGGCTCTTACTTTGAAGCCAAATAAAACTTTCATACACTTCCAGTCATAAGCATCATAATGTAACTTTCCATGTTATACTTTTTTCCCTTCTTTTTTTTTTTTTTGTGAGGCTGGGCTGGTGAAGAGATGGGGTGACAGCGACTGTTCAGTTTTTAAAATGCTTTTTACACATCTTGAAGAGATTGTTGAGGCTAAGCAAAATATATAAATATATGAAGCTTAATTTTAATCTGTTCAGCTGATTTATTAAGTATTATCTTGGGCTCATTGGAGACTTCCCATGTGACTTTTATTTAAGAGTTCAAAAAGGAGTTTATGACTTCAAACAAAATACATTGAACATGTTAAATCCTGTCTTTTGCATACATGTTTTAAAAATTTTGTTATTATGTAAGGGATTTATGGAGGTAGGAATGTACATTATTTCCAAGTTATTTGTTCTGGTCTTTTATCAAAATGTGGGAAAATAAAAAACCTTTCTCATTTCTTTTTCAGTAAGTCTGGTGTCTAGGTTTGTGAGATATAAAGTTATAGGCTTTTCAAGGGCTTTCAGAACTCACTGAACTTCTCTGTAGACATAGAATGTTTTGTCATGTCATCAGAATTTAGGAAGGACTCGATAGAGAGGTTACATTACTCATTTTACTTCAGTGTGCTAAAGTGAATCTCTGGTTGTAAAACCAGTTTCATTAAGGGTTCTGCATGCCTGTCATTTCCTTCAAGACAAGCTCAAAATTTACTTCCTTTATGAGGCAGCCACTGATGACTTTTACCACATGGCAATTAGTTATTCAATATCCTTCACATTTAAATATTTAAAGCATACCACAGGCAAAATTTTATTTTAATGAATAGTATTTTAATGGGCTTAGTTTAGGCGTGTTTCATGCTTTGATTGATACTATCGTTGGGTAGGAAATACTATATAACCATGACTTTTTAACATAAATATTGTGTTTATTCTGAGAAAAACCAAACATTCCTCAGACTATGTTAGATATATTTTCTTGTTTTCATACTCCTTGTTTTTCAGTTTCGTTAAACTCATCATGGGACGAAGCAGTGGATATTGGAGATGTTTCCGTAGCCTAACCAGAGGGTCTGGTTTGGCAGGAACAGCTTGTTTTTTAGGGAATTTGATGCTCAGACTGATGTAGAAAGTTTCTCTAGGAAGTGAGATCTTATATTTTAGATATAGTTAGCACCTCCAAAGACAGAATAATTCCTCCAAATATATCCAAAACCAAAATAAAAATAATCAATAGAAAATTTTTAAAGTCAAGTTGAATTTCAGTAAGAATTTGTTTAATATAATAAGCCAGTTTTTCATAACAGACAAAACATTCCTTTCTGCAGGCTCTTATTGTTTCCAAACATAGCATGCATAGATTTTATATTAGGGAATCAATCAGCAAATAATACTTCATATGTTTTGTCAATGTAATTGCTACAAAGGGTCATTTTAGAGTTTCATTAAGACACCTATCTCATTCATGTTATGTCTAACATTTTTAAATGTGTAATGTTTTGAATAATCAGTTCATTCATACGTTTTAAAAAGTACAAGGAACCCTAGGTGGTTGGGCTCAGTGGTTCGTGTCAGCCCATGTACTGAAGGGCCCTGGGTTGGATTCCAGCCAAGGGCACGTACCTTGGTTTCAGGCTCGGTCCCTGCTCTGGTGGGAGAGGCAACCAATCGATGTCTCTCTCTCTCTCTCTCTCTCTCCCTCCCCCTCCCCCCTCCCACACGCACACGCACACGCACACGCACACTTGACCTG